CGAGATTGGAATTTTTCAGGAAAAGGAAAAAACTGATTTATTAAAAGACGGCTTGGACTTATCCAATTTTTTTATCTCTTAAAAAAAGTCCACTTTTGGTAGTTTGTTTGAATATATAAATTCTTAACCAGCATATGAAACATGCTTCATTGAATACGTTTCACAAAATTTAAAAAAGCAAAATAAAAAATTTTGAAGTTATCCAGTCTTATCAAAATGGCAACAATATGAGCTCATCATCTTTCCAAGCTACTGGAGAACCTTGATGCACTTTTCGCCCTTATATATCATCCCGCAGACATTAGACAGCATGATAGATTGGAGATGTCAGCTGTCATTTTATCAACTTGATGGCTTGAACAAAGAAACAGTGCTCTAATACATTATATATATATGACTTCAACATTACCATGACTGAGAGACATTTCATATCATGGTGTTAATCTAGCCTCAATTCCAGTTACATTGATTCATTAAATTCATGACACAAGCGTTTAAGAGCACAGGTATTTTCTCTCAAGATATAAAATATGTCACATTCATCATTGCCACATCCTCATTCAGCTACACAGAATCTGTACACCTACAAAGTAATCACGGCAACAACTACTATCACTCTACGCAAATAAAACAAATCATAGGGAGGTGGGAGGGAGAAATGATAACAGAAGGCCAAAATAAATATATTGATTAACTTGTTTAACGGGTGGTGGAAGCCATCTGTTCATAATTAGCATTGATAATGGTGTTGTATACTACTTCAAAACTCAAAATTTTCCTGAATTCTACGAGTACACAATATGCGAAACATTTGTATTATCAAGTCAAAAGATATCACTAAATCAGATATTGATTATAACTATGGAAACAAAAGTCTTTTTTTAAAAATCAGCAGAAACAAAAAACAATCTAGGAGTACAAACAAGACATGGTCAACAACTGAAATATTTTTCAATGCAAGGGTGTTTTATACCCACAACAACATAATTTAATTTAGATCATTTAGGAAAAAGGCTTCCAATCCTGCCTGTCAAGGCCAACCCAGGGTGAGAGGGATACAGCATCCCAGCAGAGGGATACAGCATCCCAGCAGAGAGACCAAGATACTTGATAACATTTTCTCCTCACTCGGGCATCAAACTCGGGTCTCCTACGAGCGAGAGTGAAGCGCCAAACCGCAACAGCACAGACGCCTGTTCAGCAACTCGGGACATCGCCTTCATAACACAGCGCCAAGATAATCATTCTTGCAAATTAATGTTAGAAATCTGACAATGGCCAACAGATACATGGTGCAAGGAGTTTACGCTTTATCTTTTCCCAACAAATTTCATATATATTCTTCCAGCCAAATAACTCTAGGGACATCAGATCAGACGCAGGAAAAGAAATCATGAAAGTACAAAACAGAAATAATGCCCCCCATCAGCACCCCACTGATCTTGTTGAGTTTTTTTGTTCCAACTTCTCAATTGAATAAACCAAAACTAATCATCTAAAAGTCAGTACCATTGCAAAATAAAGCCAAACATTTTTGCCCCTGGGTCCACCAAGTCCTTTATGGATGACTACTGAACAATCCATGTCCGAAAATAATCTACCTTGGGTACAGGGAAACAAGTTCAGGTTTACTTTAAAGATTTAACCCTCTCCGTGTGTCATGTTTTACTATCGTATCCATACGACATGGGGAACTCTGTGCCACCACTTTCCAAAGAGGAAATTTACTCGTTAATCCGATCCCTACGCTTTGCGTAACAGTCTGTTAAAATGATTTTTTGAGAAATACTGCAAGTTTCAAAGAGATCTTCGTACTAGAAGTATCCTAAAATGTGAAAAATATAACCCCGGGGGTACAAAATGACCCTAGGGTGACGGATAGGGTTAAAGGTCTTCTACAATCCTCACAAACAGATTGAGAACTTCAAAATTTACAGAACATTCCAGAGTGACAAAGGCATGACTCCAACATACCACTACAGTATCCACACTAAATGGGAGACATTAGGGAAATAGATGACTCAAAAGCTGATTAACTGTTCGGTAGAATATCATGTAGGTAGAAGATTGTACATTTCCACAACATTTTACCAGACCCGTTTTTATTATCCCAGAAACCTGTCTTTTTGGAAAAGGAAGAAATAAAATTTCAGGAGTGAATAGAACATGTTGTCTTACTATGCAATGCCTATCCTCAAAGATGGTGAGAGTGAGGGCTGTTAAAAGACAAGTTTGTGTCCACTGTACCACATAACTGAAAACACCGTGTATGAAAAAGAGCTGATCACCATGCACACATTGACCTCGATAATTTCCCTCATCAAATCAGTCAGTTGTTACAATGACCGACATACAGAGCAAAAAACACTTTTGTAGCAGCACGTATTTGAGAAAAGCAACGTATGTGTACTCTCTACTGGCCAGGATCCAACTCTGTCAACACAGCCACATTCAAAACAAGTATTAAGGGGGGGGGGGGGGGGGGGGGTTTCAATTCTTTTTTTAATAAACAAGGAAAAAAAAAAAAAAGAGGTAAGCGCAGAAAAATAAATTAGAATTTAATTTGTTTCTCTTAATCGTTAGACTAACAATGCAAACAAACACAAAAAACAAAATACATAGATGTGGTGGGGGGGGGGGGGGAAGGGGGGGGGACTCAAACAGGAAGAGGGACTGGAAAGGGAAGACAAGGAAACTAAATTTCTCAAGCTATGCGCTCACACTCACGTGCCTCTTCTTCATTCATCACCATCAGTTTGCTTGCTCATAAACCAACACCTGCCGCACGATCACTCCAACTCCAACCGATGGCGTCAAACGACCACAAATCGACAAGTTACGTATGAATTTCTTTCACTTCCACATTGAACAGTATGAAAATCATTTACAACTCATGCTCAGTTATGCATCTCTAAAAGGCAGAAACATCAACATGATCTCAAATATTGCTTGGAAATCCATGCACACGGTATTTTCCAAAATTGTTAAACAAGAGTGGAAAAAAAAAAACCCAAGGAGAACAACATTTAAAAAGTAACCTCTAGGGCCATTTTTTCACGGCATGGTGCAAATGCACCATAAATGGTATTAAAAGGAGGCATTTAATTTCCCCGTAAAGTAACCCCACAAAGACGCACTGAGTGAACGGACAAAATTACAAAGCTGTAATGCTACAAGAAATAGCCCCCCGACTCCTGTTTGTACTGATAACAAGACAGGGAGGGATGCCACTCAACTTTTTTTTAAATAGCTGAAAATCCACGCGCCACGGACTCGCTAACATATATGAATATCAATTTGAAACCCAATTTATTTTTTTTTCAACTATAGATTCTATCTCGATCTCAATAACGGAAGAGCGGATCAGGATCAAAATACCGGAAATACCGGAAAAAAGCGGAAAAGTGGCATCCCTAACAAGATAACCGTAAGATGGTTCCAGTAGGGAAAGGGATAGAGGGTGCCCACATCCCTCGTGACTCATTGTAGCAGAGGAAGATAAGACTAACGCTAACATTACTTAAACGCAATCCCTCATCATCAATCATCACCACTATTATTTCTAAAAACATCACCACTCTCAGATCCATAACTTACATCTATAATCCTGGAATCTCTATCTGCTATTACAGTCGTATGCACGTAATACACTATTGGACACTATCATATGCACATTTTTCTACTAATCAGATGGCGTCAATCTCATATAAATGGGAAAGAGGGGGGGGGGGGGAAATGATAACAAGGTCTGTGTTCGGGTGACCATCTTGAAAAGTGATTTCATAGGAAGATCTTGACGCATTTTCCAGGAAGGACACAATCTACACACTGTAGCTCTCAAGTCCTCTTGCCCTCCAAAAAGGCTACGTAACGTGCGACTTTGCCCTCATACTAAGTTAAGACATTTACAGGTCTAACTACAGGAGTGAAGCTCAGATGACCGTACGCTATCACGAGTGGCATAGAATTTTTTACCAAACATTACTATCAGACTCCAGGTTGTGCTTCTCTCACTAGTCCCGACTACACAGTCAACATGGTCAGAAACCAAGCCCAAGTCTAATTACAAAGCAGCCAGGCAAAATGGCCAACCTAAAAAGAATTTTCTTTCCAAACTACATCACATCTAAGTGTGCCCCGATGATCAGAAGAACACCACCTATGATCGATTCAATTTGTGTTTAACCATGATGACAAAGTATATCCATCAATTTTTCCTTTCCTCTACCTTGAAGTGATAAATGAAGGAAACTCACAGTAATTTGCAGAAGCACACAACATTGAACAGCATATCCACTACCTCACAAGCAATTGTCAACTACACATTGATCATATTATTATTAATAAGTTTATCATTGTGCAGAATCACTTTGGTCTGCAAAAAAATAATTTGAAACAAATCAATAATATATACTATTTACAGTCATCCATAGATTATGATTATCATCATACCATACTGCAGTACATATCAATGTGTTGACAGGAGGAACTAAAGGCTGAGTGAGCTCTTAGCATTTTCCTAAGTTCAGCTTTCAGGACCCGCCATGTAATTTATATCAAACTCACATATATATAATGATTCTGCCCCTTTCACAAAAAATATGAATGTCATACAGTAGCTCTTCAGCTGACAATCGTTAGACATATAGAACATTCAGAAATAGACACAGGCCCTTAAATCACAATACAATAAGTAAAAATGTACTTAACAACGCACAACTGTTGTGTGTATGCGCGTGCGTGCATGACTACTTTGTGTGTGTGTACGTGTATGTGCTGTTAATGTGGTGGCAAGGAGTCTGTTTAGCCCCTACCCTCACTTCCCCTCCCCCCCCCCCCCCCCCCCCAATAATTTTCACTGCATTTTCTATCGACAAGTACATCTTTTCTCAACTGCATGAAATCCTTGCCGTGACCTGTAACAAGTACTTAACTCACTAGATAGCTTATCAATCCCCAAGCAAGTATGGATCAGCTGAATTCACAAGGGAAACAATTATATTTTTAGATGGCAGCGAGTTTAATTTCATTAGGCAGATAAGATGTAATAAAACTCTATCCAAAATAATTAATTATCAATGACAGTGACATTAATGGAACCATGACGGAAAAAAAAAGGATCACAATTTTTACTATTCTGCTCACATATTATAACCAAATAAGAGAGGAAACAAACCCTCAAAATCATAGGACCAGACCATTACAGGTCCAAACTACACACCCATAGGGTGTGTTATAAGATATAATTTCCACATTGCTTGCAGGTTAGAATGCACTTAACATACACAAAAAAAGAAGAAAACCCTTTCAAAGAGAAAGTTCCATCCAAAATGTTCAATTTCCACAACGGAGGGCTGCAAAACGCAATTTTTATTTCTTTTCAGCATCGCCTGGTCAGACAAAATAATGATTTTTGGTTTACACTGGCGCCAAACAAAATTTGAGTAAACAAGGAGAAGTGACTAATTCATAAAACCACCATGAGAGCAGTCAAAAGCGAAGTGACAACTTACTGGAAAGTCCAACCAACACTGAGCAGTAGAGCTGTTCCAACGACTACTGAGGAGGTTATCTGTACCAGATCACAGTCGTTGCCAAAAGTGGCATTTCAAAAGGAAAATTTTGAAGTATGAGAGGACAAACTCATCATTGTAAAACAGTGTACCTAATCTCAACTGATATTGTACTACCAGTTTAACCCCCCCTCCTTCATCCCCCCCATCTCATAAAGTAACAGAGGAATATTGAATAGTTATTTGTACTGTGTTGAAACTTACCAAACGCCTCATAATAGCATCAAAGATGCCATGAGTTACCAAAAAAGAAAAGGAAAAAATAAAAAAGACAATTGACACACCAACTGAATGTTAAAAGAAAACGATACTCAATCAATGCTTGCGTTTCCATTATAAAGTGACTGAATTCATATGAAATAACTGAGTTCACAAATCATATCAGCAAATCTTTTACGAATGAGAAGTAACCACTGCCACGTGGAAGAACCATTTTTTCTGGCGCAAAGCTAACAAAAATGAGAAAGTACAACAATGGAGTAGATATCAACTGTTTTAAAAAAAAAAAAATTAAATCTGTGATAGGCCTCCATTGGCTCCTTGTATCTCTCTTAAACCTCCACAATAATATCGCAAAACAACACTGAAACTAAAATTATTCCATAGCTCTGTCACAGCAATTTTTACGGGAGAATATTGAAGAAAACACGCCCTCTGAAAAATGCATAGAAATGGTAGTTGTGTATGAGTAACACATGAGCACACAAACAGATGGATGGAGGAGGAGGGAGGGGGGAGGGGGGGGCGGTGTGCATTTCAATCTAATGACTATTCATTTCCATTTCTATTGCATAGACAAAAGAACGCTTCGAAATTAAATTTCTTGCCTCACTTGACAGGCAGAAAGAAAATGAAACAACATTTTCATAGAAATGAAGCCGTAAACCTATCATGGCCAGATGCTCACTGTCAGACACTCAAAAAATTATGTAAGGAAAGCTTTAAATGCCCCACAGAAACATATACACTTCAGTCTATACAACATAACTTGACAACCAGTGCAAATTTACAGTCCTCTGTTTCTATTATGACTGTCTCATATAATCATCTTTTCCAACAAAAACTGAAAGAAATTTCAGTGCACTAGCACTGCATACAAATTCGGCAAAATTGGAGGTTACTGAATTATTCAGGGGCAAAGGGAATTTCATCACAAGTCATGATCTCGTCGAAATGAGGTACCAAGGTGTCGAGTAGGGACGACCATTTTCTCTCGAGCCTCCCGTCGTCCATCTTCTTTGTGATTGAAATCACACTTGTGCAGCTCTGGTAGGCGGTGGAGGGCACAAAAAACTCGATCTGAGGATGATGAAACAAGAAATAAATGGCTACATCCCCCAATTTGGGAGGAAAAAAAGGGGGGGAAAATCCACACACATACACACACAGAAAAGCAGCATGAATATTCAACAAATTATACATGTCACATGCTCACCAAACTTTTAATTTCACTGTGGCATATTTGGTAAAGGACATTGTAGATAAGAGGGGTCCCTGATTACAACTGTTCTCACCCTTTCTGAAATATTTTTCTTCTCAGTCTAGTGTGCTGGCCATAGAGCAAATGTTCCTTCACTAAGGACCTGTCCTATACTGTGTCTAAAAAAGCTTTTACTATCAATACAGTTGATAGTACAGCTTATATTGCAAAATTCATGACATGACACTGTTTGCTTTTCTCTAAGTTGCAAGGCATGACAATATAATCACCGACTGAAACAGCAGGAAAGGGAGCCGAAAACAACACAGTACCCCGCAACCAATCTCTCACTGTTAACCTCATGATGGTGATTACATTGAGAAATAAATCACATGTTGGAGACATGATGTGTTACATTTTTATTATAATAGGACAAATATTGCTGCTTTTATGGACCTTTTCCGGGTTTTCCATGGGACAGCCCTCGTATCCCAACACTGAAACAACTTCCTGTTCACACAGCTAAAACAAGTTAGATGACTTTCTTACTTTCTAAATTAAATCTTTCACTTATTTGGGAACCTTAACTCATGTGTAAGATGAAACCTATTACCTGCACAGTGTAAAAATCCTTTGACTTCACATCCCCCTAGCATTCTAATATGCACAACACGGCATTCAAATGCATTCACCTTTCCACAGATGGTCCATGGAGCAGCCAGCCAGTAGAAAATGAACTTGACTAAACGTTACTTATCTCAAACAAAGACACAGCCACTGCCTGTTGGCAGTTTTTGCATCTCATCCGTAGAGTAGATGACTGTAATGCAGTGATGGCCAGCTGCTCTTTCTGGCCCAGAGGCAGAGAGTAGTGCTATTGACTTTTTTACTACTATTAAGGAGAAATGGAAGAGAATTATTGATGTATTGAAAGGAGGAAAAAAGAAACGGTAAAATCCTGGGAAGAATTATCAAAGACATGGCTAAGCATCCAAAAGCCCACCTTTTCCTGGTACTACAGCTTATTTGATGTCATTACGGAGAAGAGAAAAAGAACCTAACTAACTCACTTGCATTCAAAACATGAGATGGCTGACATCTAAGTCTACCATTTGTTTTTAAAGAATACATGGCAACAATATTTTACAATTAACATTTATAGCCTTTGACTTGATAAAGTGTTGAGGAAAAAGCATCACTTTCAATCCCAACACCTTGTTATCATTTCACCACCTACCGTATATACGGGATTGTGTAAAAATGCCGATTCAAAAGGAAAAGAAAAACCATTGTCAGACATAACTGCCACGGCAATACAAGATGCATCAGTTTTTAATTCCAACAACAAAGAGGGACACTGAATCACTTACCACATCGACAACGACCAATGGTCCGCTGAGCAAGTTCCAGTTTACAATTACAAACAAAGCAACGCCGTTTATTTTTCTGTGGTGAAGGTTCACTTTCGGTTTTGTTTTCACTGGAAGCTTCCATTTCTTCTCTTGACCTGAAAGTATGTACATCAACATGAGGAACACATACAATGGTACATATGGAAAATCCTTCTAAGATAAAACTATCAATGCTTTGATAAATCTTCACTAAGCATAAAGAACAAAGAAAATGGCCAACTGCTGTTTAATAGAAAGCAGGACATTATAAAAAAGTAAATGGATGATGCAGAGAAGAAAATATAATCCATATATTTCCTGAAAGAGTAAAAAATAATCCCCTCCGTACCATCACACTACAAAAAACACAACAAAACAACACCCCCCCCCCTCCCCCAAAAAAGCCCAGCTAACCATCTAAACCCTTCAATATTCTCCATCTTAGTAGAAGATAAAAAAAGACCCTGCAATCTTATTCAGTACTTTCTTATGCTGGGACATTTAGCCATTTCAATTCTTAAGCTTCGATAGACTATTCACAAAAACGCTTCCACCTTTTCTTACACAAAAAAGGTAAAGAATTCCATAAATTTAAAGTAGAAGATCACATAATCATCAACAAAGAAAGAGAAAAATGGATCAGTAACAGGTCCACTGAATACTGTGATGAAACAAAAATCAAAAGCTTTATCATTACTCCTACACAGAACCTGCAAAGTACAGACGACCATGCCAAGACGGTCATCTGTACTGATGGTCACTTTTTATTCCCCCCTTGCATTTTTTTCTGAATAATGGCACTGTGTAAAACAATTACAATATGTGTCCAACCCGGCCCAGCATCATTTCATCAACCATCAATTTAAAAAAACCTCATCTAAGATGGCTATGCAAATCTCTCATTGCCCAATGTGTTGTCATTATATCAGCCCGTCACTGTTGACTAGCCATCATAATCTATTCATCCGTCATTGTTAATCTCTCTAAAGAACGAAGCAATCATTTTTTACCCCTGTTGACCAGTCAGTAACAAATTTTCAGCAGCTGATGACGGAGGCGTGTGAACCACCAGAATCTAGTTATCCCGCCCTCAACTCTGATTTTATCATCATGGCACTTGAGCTCAGTCTCTTTTGTCTAAAAGATTTCATTTTGTTTTACCCTTCAACTGCACACTGTCTTACTCATCTGATACACTTCGTAGAATTTAACACTTACAGCAGTTATGAAAACTCCGCTTCCAACCTCCGTCCAAAAAGAAAGAAAAAACTCAATTTTAATGGGTCTTACGTAGTCCTAAGCTGGGCTGCCTAACCACTACCATGTTTAAGTAATCAATAAATTTAAAAAATCAGTAGTCTGGTTTAAAAATTGATAAAATGACCATGGATAGCTTTCTTCCCTGGTGTGTCAAGAAGAACAGGGATTGCAGGTTAAAAGATGAATGCATGTGATGTAAACAAACACGATTGCAATAGGCTCGTTTTGTACAGTTACGCTGGAAACATGGGAGTGGAAGGTAGGGAGGGGTGCTTGTACATGTTGCACCCGATAGTTTCAAGTTTCACCAAATTTCAAGCAATGATCTGAACTTTTTTTTTTTTTTTAATTCTTTCGCTCGCCTAGGCCATCACCCACTACACAAAAGCAGAAATTTTTCAACAACCACGTCAAACAAATGTATCCCTTACTCCTGGCTTTGGGCGCAACATACGTCATTCTATGGACAAAGTGGCACTGAGCGACTACAAGGGAACTATGCATAGAGAGGGGGGGAGGGGGTGTTAATGTAGACAGCTGCACATGACAGAGAGTTTTGAACAGAAAGAATCAGGGGTCTTATCAACGTTTTCATAGACAGCAGCTTAAATTCAATTGTTTCCATTTCATAGATCCTCAGTTTTTTTGTTTTTTTGCATGTGTGAAGTAGATACAGAGGCACAGACTATCGGGGCCTGATTTTCTTCCCCACACACTGGGAGGGTGGGGATGGGTTGGGGTAGCCGAAAGGCAAAAATAATTTTTTTTAAAATCAGAATCAGGGTCTTAGGATCATTTTGTATTTCAATTTTTTAAATCTGTATAAATCCCAAGCCTTCCGCCAAATTCCCAAGGACATGCAGCCTTGTATTATGCAGATATCTAATTGAATGGATGTATGTGCACATCCAAGTTCTTTTCTTTTGCTCTGAGAGAAACATGCCTGAGAATGATTGTTAAAGTAAGTATAATCAAAAGTTAACAAAACATCCAAAAATAAAACAAAAGCATCAATCTCCTCAGTGTTCTGCCAGAATTTCACTCGCCTAAATTTCAACAGGGTTCATACTGAGCAGGAGATTTGTTTTTTCAAGACTTTTCCATGAGTTTTCAAAACCAGATTTCTTTTTTCCAACATAAATAACGTGTCATTTCGGAGAAAAAAATTTAGTTCAGCATGCAAAAATACATTATGGCACCCTTCAGAATACGTAAAGTCGAGGCCTTCTAAACTTCGAAGAAATATTTTAACAATAGATCTAGTTAAAAATTTGTTTTTCCTAGACTTTTGCAAATTTCCCAAAATTCAAAGAGTTTTCCAGGACCCTGACGGCGGCAGAAAGTTTTTGTGAAAGCCAATATTCTACCGGAGACCAAAGACATACATAAGTAACTAAGTAAGACAATTGTAAAAATATTCCCTATTATTCTGCGTATGAGAAAAAAGCAAATCCGAAAGAAAACAGACTGGAAAAGCAATTGTTACTTCGAATCCCAATATAATGGAGCACATAGCTACGTTTCTACTTACCTCTTTACTCCTCTGGCCACAGGCGATTGCTGACTGCTATTTTCCTCACAGGTAGAGTTTTCACGATTCTCTGTTGTAGTGGGTGCTTTAGGGCTTATGGAGCCAGAGGAGGAGCACCCCGCCTGTTCATCTTTCTCCGCACATTTTACAGAAATGTCTTTGGTGGAAGAAGAAGCGAGATTTATCTTTGCTACAACAACACTGTCTATAACACTGTTTGTGATTTTCCCTCCACATGCAGTCGACGGAGAGCTTGCAGTTGCAGCAGCTTTTATTAGCCCTACACCTGTAGAATTTGGGACTGTCACAAGTGTGTCTCTTTGCACAGAAGAACCATCCTTGGTACTGGATGTAGTAGAAGAGGAAGATGGATATGAATTTCCTAAGCTGCTGGGGACTGAAACCAACGAGGAGGAGGAGGAGGAACAGGAGGCGGCAGAGCGGCCTTCGACGTCGCGAACAGGATCATAAGACTGATCGCTGGAGGCAGAGCTCTGCGAGTCCGAATCACTGGGAGTTGCTATTTGCTGACCAGAAGCCGACCTGTTGGCTTCCGCGATGATACCGGAGGGCCCCATTTCTTCACTGGTGCCTCCACCAGGGGAGGCTATGACGGCAGACATGTGGTTGGGGCCTGTGTTTGTGCTGCTGGTGCTAACACTTGTCGTGTCAACCGTGGCAGGAGTAGGGGCCGCTGCTGCTGCTGCCAGTGCCGACCGTTCACCAGGCGAGCTCAGGGAACTCGGTAGATTGTCTGTGGTGGAATGGGACGGGAAATGTTTCGAGTCCATCCTGTTAGTAGGAACACTGCGATTTCTTGGCTGGTTGTGACAACTTCCAATTGAAGACTTTGAAGATTCTGAGAGAAAAAAGCATCAGAAATAGGGGCTATTAGATGCAATCAAAAGTCAATGCTTCTGAATACTTGAAACATAATAATTGTTAAACTTTAAATGTATGTATGTAAAGTGTACCTGCCCATCAAAAGCAATGCTAACAAAACCATAAAACAGGAATTAAAATTTGTTATGTAAAAAACAAAAAAAATGGAAACTAAAATCAACTTTCGCAAGTACCTGGGAAAGAATCCTTAAATACCAATGATCTAAATCTAACACCTTTCCAACCCGAGTATTCATACAAAACATTATAACACCAAAAAAAAGATAAAATTATCAAAAGTTTGAAAAGAGTAATCTTTGAAGAACCACAGAGAAGATATGTTTTAGTTTTTAGTTTTAGTAAGAGTTTTACAGTACTTGCAACACAATAAGGTCATATTAATATAAGTGCCGTGAATTAGAGGGGTCACAACAGAGAAATAAATACATAAAAGAAGGGGGAGAGATCAGGACAATAAAAAAAAATTTTTATATTTGAAAGGAAAAGGGGAGTAAACCACACCAAAGCACCCTCCAACCACCAACAGAGAGAAGATATGTGGAAGCATGAAAGAAAGAAAAAAAATAAAGAGAAGGAAGAAGTGAAGATTGGGCTCCATGAGGGAGAGAAAACTATCTAAAAGACAATAACACAACAAGCCAAAGACTAGAAACAATAAATAGGCACAGGAGAATATAATAGAAGATGCACAAAGACATTTTGTCTCTAGTCTTACTTCTTACAGTGACTCATACACTAAATCAATGCTTACCACTGGTGCACAAGCTGCTCTGGCCTTGATTCCTCTGTGCTGAAAATAAAAAGAATCGTCTTGTGAGCAAAGTTTTAACAAATATACATACCTAATAAAAAAATTAGTGTACAACAAATATTTCACTTATTACACTTCGCTTTTATCAGCGCACAGTTTTCAGTTTTTCTGTGCTGCAACTTCAAAATTAAACCCGAAAAAGGGCCAAACAATATTTCAAGTGTCTAGGAGAGGTACATCACAGACAGTTGACCAAATTATTTCAAAGAAGTTTTATTCAGTTACTTGTATATATGTAAAATATACTGGTTTACATTCAGAGCTGTTACGACGCAGTAGAATCAGGTGCTCACCAATTTTGGGCATCTGGGGCTATTGGTATCATTTTTAAAGCTTGATTATTTGACTATCTTTTGATGAAAAAACTACAACCATCTTAAATAGAAGTCAAGATATTTGCGATTGAAGGAGGTCGGGGTCGCCTGTTTTCAGAGTTAATATTAGTGAGAAAATGGCTGTCAAAGTTTGGTAATTTCCAAAGCTAAAAAGTCCCTGGAAACTAAAAATTTACATTTGTTGTGCCCTTAATCAGTATTTTTCAGTAAAATTCACACAGAAATATGTTTTTAAATGGACATTTTAAAAAAAGGTGTTGAGCAAAAAAACGGTAAAATTGGAGGAAAAATGCCAATTACCCCAATATCTTTAATTATTTTGACGAGCACCTGATTTCACCATGATGCCTCACATGTCTCATTATCTGAGAAATTACTCAAAACGAACGGAAAAATATACCCATTACATCCTTACAAACATTCTAAATCTGCATAAGATATTCTTATGATTAATCTAAATCAGTTTCATACAATTACCTTCACGGTAACACTTGGAGCAAAGGCCCGAGGTCTCTGTTGATCTGAGAAGGGAAAAAGGAAATAAATTGGGTGACAGTTCTCACACAGTCAATATATAAACGTGACACAAAAATAACAAGCAAACAGGACATCTGTCAAGCAAATGTAAACTGACAAGAACTTTCAGGAAACTCATTATAACTAGCTTTCTTTCCTCAAAATCCTTAAAAAATCAAAGTTTGGGGGAAAATATCTGAAACTTCCAACAGACCATCATGTAACTTTATGAACCGAAAGTAGGAAACACACACAAATACACGTGCATTCTCACGTCATTTATGACTAGTCGCACATATATTGCAAAGAAACCAATCAATGAGAATGTGCAGTCTTATCGTCATTATAATGATAATTTACATACACAACTGGTGGAAACAGAATTCAAGAAAAATAATGTCATGCAAATGCGACCGGGGTTCAACAGGCCAAAAAAAAAAAAATGCCCCCAGACAGCTCTGATTTTATCAAAGTACTTGGCAGGTCTGATAAACATTCATAACAATTCTCGAGTCATTCAGATCTCTGTGATTTTACTAAATTCCCAGTCATTCCCAAGGCCTTAGGAGGGACTCCTCAGGCCTGGCTGCCTCCCATTGTCCAATTAATACTGCTGTTTTTAATTTTTGAGCTAGTCAATATTCACAGTGCCATTCACCGAGCGTGCTATGTTCCAGCACGCACATTCAATGCAATACGATGACATCAAATAACCATTCATAACACTTCCAATTTTGAAGAGGGGAAAGGGAGTTTAGTATGACAGCTGTTACTTTACTTTCTTAGAACATTTGTTGCATGTGAAGAGTCAATATGCTCTTGAACTAGCCATGGTGTGACTAATGACTGACTTACAAAGGCTGGATGATTTTTTTCAAAATCGTTATTCTCCTGTAAAGATTGGTTTGTTTATGTGACAAAACAGTAAACACAAAAGTGCAGATTACAGTACTTTTTGAATTTTGAAAATCTTTTGATATTAACTTTTTAATGGGTTTTTTTTTTTTTTCAAAAATAGCCTTTTTTTTATATTTGAGAATACACACAAGAAATAGGCAAAGGCTAAGGACAGGAGAGTGGGCAGACATAGAGCAATTAATGCCTCTGTGGTGTAAACACAAAACAAAGTTCTTTCATTTTACCTTATTCATAAGTCCTTCAACAAACTTGCCTCTGCATCCCAATTTAAAAAACTATGATTTTCTAAGTGTACATGAGAACAATAATGCTGTCGCATAAAATAACAATGCCAATGAAAATTTAATTTTTAGCTTCATCCTTTTTCTATTTTGTACCTAAAGAAAGAGTTTTCAATTGCAAGAATTTTAGAATTTTAAGAACTGGTTCATAAATTTAAAAGTTATGGGGTTGTAAAAGTCGGCAAAATATGGATGACCCACATAATACTCATAAAAGTGGACCATGCAGTAACAGACGCTGTAAGAAAATCGACAATGTCTCAGGAATTAATTGGGAGTTTTAGAGATAAACTTGGCTACCCAATGTGTTTTTGGGTGGAGAAATCATTTTTGCCCTCAGATTTACTAACCATTTCATAGTTATTCTGTTATAATTAAAATTTTGGTGCACAAATTTAGATTTTGCGAAAAAGGGGCATCAGGATGAGAGCATTCTATTTATAGCATTGTATCACAACATGGGATCTTTGAATATGTTGGCAGCGTGATTTAATAATGGCAAAGCTTTCTTTTATGACTTTAGACCATGTCAACCATAAAATATAATTTAATTCAATCTAGCATGCCGTTCAATAAAACAAAACTTTTTTCCCGTTGAGACACGAACACCTCTCGCCTCGGAATACCCCCATTGCGATGTTACAGGGGAACAGAGAGAAAAACAACCGGAAGTGCACGCCCGCCGCACCCTATTTCAAGTGACCAATGAACGGGCTCGGAATAGTCATGCAGGGATTTGTAGGTCACAACATTTGCAGAGTGTATGGAAAATGGCCGGTCTCCATGAAAAGCCGCTTTGGACAAGGGGGTAGTAGTACATGATTTATTATAAATTCTGCACAACTACACAGAACATTCAAATTTTAGCACACCATAGAGGAAGATGGATCTCTTACCATCTCGGCAGCGAATATCAAACTCCTTATAGTTTTCGGTGTAGCCGATACGAAAGTGTTTCGGACACCAAAAGTACAGGTTAATTTATTAATACGAACTTCGACGTCCACATATTATTAGTTTGCTCTATATTCTGATTGGTTGCCAAGTTTCATTTACACTGGTCCAGAAACAGCGTAGAACGAACTCGAGACAGTTAGTCACTATAGTTTCGACCCGGTCCAAAAATTCACCCGCAATCGGGGACCAAATTTTCGCCGCGCACGGAACCCCAATTGGCACTGATACATAAAACAGGATTTCCCTGTCCCCGACAGCTCTCCCACTTTCATACCCAATGGGAAGTCGAAGTTTAGTCATGTGACACGCCATTGAATGATAACTGAAATTTGAACGGCTTTCCAAGGCACATGAAATGAATTACAAGAAAATCAAGGTCTATTTTTAGAGTTATACATTTCAGATTGTTTCAAAACTGTTGCAGTACTCAAGGCTCAGAAAAAACCTTCTCGACTTTAAGAAGTGGTATCGCACAAGTTTGATGCCAGATTAAATTGAAACAACTTGAGATGTTTAGATTGATCTCTTCCGTTATTGCTTGCCAAGTTTCAAGACTTTATGACATCATCATCATGCTTTTTGTCGGCTCCACCTATCACTGTCTCATTATAACCATCGAGTACAAAGTATTCCTGAAATATTTACCTTCGATATAACATGCCCGTAATTTTACAGCCAACTGAGAAAAATGTGTTACAACACGGTGGAATCAGGTGCTCGTCAATTTTTACGTTTGTAGAGCTATTGATATCACCTTGCTTAACTTAAAGCTTGTTAATTTTTTCTTGAAAGAAATTGAGATACGACTCGCGATTGAAGGAGGTTCCGGGTTGCCCTGTTTCAGAGTTAAAATTAGTGAGAAAATGGCTGTAAAAGTTTGGTGAATTCTACAGCTTGAGAAGTCCTTGAAACTGAAAATTTACTTCTTTTTTTTGCCTTTTATCAACCTTTTTCAGTAAAATCCATAGAAATGTGTTTTTAAATGGACATAAAAGGTCACCACCAACCATCATCCTGACCATGCCACAGACAGTTGACTAGTTGACAGGCTAAACAACTTCAACTGGGACCTCAACGTGAATTTTGTCATGAAACATGATGTGAAATGTTGCTTGAATCTAGATCTAGATCTAGATCTAGCTAGATCTAGATCTATATCTAGATCCAGATCTGCACAGTTGGTATTTAGTTTAGATAGATTCTACATCTTATTAAACAGTTGATTTTTGTTTAGCCAGTCTAGCTTATAAAAACAGAGAGGCACTGAATGTGGATTGTCATTGACCTGATACTTAATGACACAGCGCAAGGCACAGGGACAGGACAGTCACCAAGTCACTAGATTTAGATTAGAACTGGGCTGAGACAGAGACATACTGACATGTCAATATGAATCATGAACTGGAGATCTAGATCTAGAATCTATGACATATGAACATGTTGCTACGTTATTAGCTTGTTTAGCTTGTTTAGCTTATAAAAACAGACACACTGAAAGTGGATCGTTATTGGACTAACACTACAGACCAGGTAGGAGCACTGGCAACTGGAGAAAGACAGTCACAGAGGGGGGCGAACATCAACATGGACATGGTCATGGAATGGAGACAGCCATTTCATCGGTTTGACCCAGCCAGTGTTTACGAAAATAAGCTCCTATAAGCGGTAGTAACCAAAACAAAAACAATAATTATAACAATAAGGTGAATCTCTTACTATCAGCATTATTGGTTATTCACCAATCAACTTTGATTCGGATTGTTTTGTTTTTTTAATGCGAGTGTTTCTCCGCTACGATCGACTGGGGCCTTCGGGAACCCGTCATGACCAACACCAACGATATTACGAGTCATTTAACAACCCTTACCCCCAAAATCCACATGGACATCTAGGTCGTTGCTCCTTGCTAGATTCTTCCATCAAATATACAGAATTTCATGTCTGCTTCAGGGTAAGAACAACAAAACTAAAAAGGCCCACAAGTCCACAATTGGTCTGAAAATCCGATGCTAGGTTACACGGACGAAGAATGAAAAGCGACATCGACAGCAACTGGCCTCAATCTAGCCAGATATTCTCTACACTGTAAAGAGTAATCGTCTCGTGTTTCTGTAATGTTTCGAGAATAGATTAGAAATGTGTAATGTTTGCTACTTATCTAAGTTGATTCAATATTATTACCTTGACAATTAAAATTTTTGGACATTAGCCGTTCTTCATTGCATTCAACAGTGTTTTTAATGGTCCTAATGTATAATAGAACGCACCAAATTGGCATTATGTACTCCAACACAGTCCATGACCTCTTGTACTGAAATCGAGGCTGCCATGTATGTCCGGGTTAAATCGGGGGGATTGGCAGCTGACTGTGCTTGCTTGCGAGGTTCGGCTGCTAGCCTAGGCTTGGCCCTAGCCTACTCCGCAGTGTCAGTGTACCAACCAACCAACCGCTTGAGGTGGGAGGTGGTGCACACACGCACGGGCAGCTTGCAGGAAGGAAGGAGTTGCCATTAGAGAAATCTAGTCTTCAGTGACTTATGGGTCATGGGTCGAACTGGCTTCACCGCATAATAATATTTTACGTTTCAATGGAATACACGCTGCAAAGCATTTCACCAACTTCAGTTGTACTTCACTCTATATCTAGATTATATGTAAACATTTTATTTTTTTAAAAACGTTTACCAAACTAAAGAAAATTACTCACTCACACTGCTGCGCTGTCGTATACAAAGACTGAAGTTCTTGAGTCTTGAGCGCATCGTATTACAAACGAAAGAAGGCCGTCCAGTATCCTCCCTTTCGTTTTACAAAATTTTAATTAATAAGGCCACGTGCACAGTCAAACTATTATAGTCTAACACTGCAGGCTGCAGGATTAAACACAAACAATAATGACATGTTTGGCTCTATATTGTGTTGTTGGGTTTTTGTTGTTGGTTTTTTTTTTAGGGGGGCGGATGTTGTTGTTGTTTTTGTTGTTGTGTGTGTGTGTGTTTTCTTCTTTTACTTTAAAAGGTTGCTGTTCGTTGGGGAGGGTTGGTGGATATATATGGTTTGGATTTTATTTCTGGTTGTTGAGTTCAGAGGACGATTTTTATTTGTGGACAGGGAGTTCAGGGAGGGATTCACAGTTGCATTGGTGGTCTACTAATTAGACTCTCGACGCTCAATCATAAAGATCTTAGGTTTGAATCATGTCAGGAGCCCAACGTTGTATCACTAGAAAAGGCACTTTACTTGAATTTTCCTCACTTCTCCCAGTTGGGAATGGGTACCAAGCTATAGACAACAAAAGATTTTGTCAATCTGTTTGTGTTTTAGCACACGTAATCTGCAGCTTGCATTGTATACTTTCTCGGAGGTTGGGGGTGTTTCTGAGTCGTGTTCTAAACTCTGCTGGGGTGACCATAGTTGTAAAGCTCATATGACATGCTGTAGAGCATGGATATGTGTTATATAAATGCAGTTATTATTAATTAGAATACATTTACAAATGGATGTGTGTTATGTAAATGCAGTTATTATTAATTAGAATACATTTACAAAAAGATATGTGTTATATAAATGCAGTTATTATTAATTAGAATACCTTTACAAATGGATACGTGTTATATAAATTCTATTATTATTAATTAGAACACATTTACAAATGGATATGTGTTATGTAGATGCAATTTTATTAATTAGAATACCTTTACAAATGGATATGTGTTATGTAAATGCAATTATCATCTATTGGAATACATTTGCCTCCAGAGACCACTGAAGACTTTTTCACACCCACAGATCAAATGTACTACAACATCCGCATCGCCAACGACTACAACATCTACCTCGACCCCCCGCTGCACTTTGTCAACGTCCCGCCCATCCAGCCAAAGCCAGCGTTGAGCAGCGAGGTCATGTTTGCCTCAGGAATCAACGCGTGGACCTACTCCACTCTGTACTCCAACCAGCTGCACCTTCCTGAAACGGACAACATCTTACCCGATGGTCAGGGAGAGTTCAACAGACAAGAGGTAGTCAGATCACTGAGCACTTGGTAGTTTTTGCGTCTTGCCCCACATGGAAGACCACTGAAGATTACAAGGGGAAAAATGAATGATGTCACATTTTCCTAATAACTGAAACTTTAGATCAAGAAATTCCTGTTTCTTTCATGTGTTAAATGTTTTGAAGTTTTTTCAAACGTCTATCATCCCTATCTTTCCCTTTTCTTCTCTTTGTATGTTACTCTCTGTTATCACCTTTAATCTTCTTTCATTTTAGTTTTAGTTTTAGTAAGAGTTTTACAGCTCTTGCCACACACTTAAGGTTATATAAGTGCCGAAGAATACAAAGTGTTATAAGAGAGTAACATACATTAAAAAAAGGAGGGAAAATAAGGATAATAAAAAAAAGTGTTTGATGGGAAAGGAGGAGCAAACCACTCAAAAGCACCCGCCAACCACCCAGTCTGATCTTCTGCACTTATATGACCTATTTATCGTGTTGCAAGTTCTGTAAAACTCTTAGTAAAAACTCATCTAAAGCCAAAACAAAACACTATCAACGTTATAAGATAAGATAATACTTTATTATCCCAAAGGGAAATTTTTCTTGGCTGTACAGGACCGTAAAAACAAATGCAGGTATACATAAAAAATTTACATTATACATTTCTCTCAGTAAAATTCGATATGAAAAGAGAAGTAGAGCTGACAAAATGTACATAATATCACATCAGATGCATCATTCAACCGCCTGCAGGAATTTAATTACAACACCTTTGGAGTTATATAGATAAAATACATACTCTGAAGAGCAATACACATCTATGCTTTTTATTATTTATGCTCTCCCACTTCGCTTGTTCCCAGCTGGAGCTGCTGATGAAGGACTTGCTGCACATCTACACGGCGCAGTGCCACCTGTTTGCCGAGCAGTACGGCGGGGTTATGTTCCAGACGACCCCTGAGAATGGGACGGCCGCGGTGACCTCCGCCATACAGCACGGGGACAAGCATGTGCTCAGGCTGGGGAAGAAGGTACTGTATGATAATGATAATGATGATGATCATGATGATGATGATAATAATAATGATGATGATGATGATGACAATGTTAATAATAGTAATATTATTAATAATAATAATAATAATAAGTAGCAGTAGCAGTAGTAGTAGTAGTAGTAGTATAAGTATTATTATGATTATCATTA